TAACACCCGTGTTCTAGCTATGTGTTCATCAAGCTCCTAAGAGAGGCAATTGTTTTCTTTCTTAGTATTAATACAGCTTATTTCTGCAATTAGCAGACATTGCTCCCTCTGGTGGTTAATTTGGAGCCACGTTTTGTGAATTCTTTGAAATAGTTTCTTTTCTTTTTTTAAATGTAGTCTGGTCCCCCCACTAGATGGCTGCTGTTGCTTTTTCCAGTTTTTCTAGTCTCAATTGTCTCCTTCATCTGTTAGGCTCTGATTTGAGAAAACAGCCCTTTTTAGGACAGAAGTTGAGCACATGGACAAGTCAATCTGACTTAACCTCAAGCATCACAGTCTTTAATTGGAGTGGCCTACTCATGTTTACATGTTTTCCTGAATGAGGACTTTAACCTGTTCATACCATGCTTTGCTCTGTGAACTGGATTAATAATGATAATCCATGAAAAAAGTTACACAAATCTAAGGCACCAACCTCTGTAATATCCAAGTGCGGTTGACAAAATATAATGGCTTTTCAGAACACCTGAAAAAATAACTACACAGAAACTTCCTTTGATGACGGTTAGTTATGCCACTATCCACAGTCTTTTTTTACTTAGACCAAACTCCTTCTCTGAGTGAGGGATACTCACCTGAGAAGCAGGGTGCAGGACCACACACTCCTATGCTGAAGTGGGACCCTCTTAAAAAATTGTTTTTTCCGTTTGTTGACATGCTGTTGTTTTGTTTATAGCACTGGCAAATTCCACTGAGTCGCCGATTTCGCTCTTTGAAGCTCTGGTTTGTGATTCGTTCCTTCGGAGTGAAAAAGCTTCAAGCCCACGTCAGACATGTATGTGAATAACATGACAAGTGTTAACATATTGATATTGCTTTTCAGCGTCTGACTCCATTAAACAGCTGCCAGGCTGGGGGTACAGATCCTCTTGTGCATGAAGCCTGTATAACATATTGATATTGCTTTTCAGCATCTGACTCCATTAAACAGCTACCAGGCTGGGGGCACAGATCCTCTTGTGCATGAAGCCTGTATATATCTGAATGCTATTGAAAAATGTGTGCTGCTTTTCCCCTGAAGTGCTAGTCTGTTAGGGTACGTCTACACTGAACTGTGACTTGAAATAAGATACACAATTTGCATAGCTCAAGTTGCATATCTTATTTCAATGCTATTTCAAAATAGGTTATTTCATCATTTGGCACTGTCTACACAGCACCAAATTTTGAAATAAAGCGCCATTCCGAAACGTCCATTTCTCCTCATAGAATGAAGTTTACAGGGACGTCAGTCCATTTCTCCTCACAGAATGAAGTTTACAGGGACGTCGGAATAGTGAGCCCAAAATAACAGGCTTGCTGTGAAGATGAGGGACAGTTATTTCGGGATACAAGAGTATCCCGAAATAGCACCACTGTGTAGATGTACCCTTAGAGGTTTTGACTCTGTAGTTCCTAGGGAGGCAACATTTTCATTGACTTTGCTAGTTTTATCTGAATAGGGTCACAGGACTGGGCATACAGAGAAAATTTTTTTTCAATCCTCCACAAACACAAAGCTCTCCATGCAGAAGGGGGTGAGTTATGAAGAGACCATTCAAGCAGCTCCAATGCGCCTCTGCACTCCACACAGCAGAGGGGCATTGGAGTTATTGAACTGGGCAAAGGGGGTAGTCATGGTCAGCGTGCCTGTAACTATGCATATCCGCAGGCCTAAACCCCTGAATGTAAGTACAGGAAGTGACAGCATGGTGCAGCCTTACCGGTGGAGTGTCTCTACTGGTGATCCACAGCCCAGAAGCATGGGGACAGATTCATTCTCCAGTGTTCCTCCAGAGAACTCAGCCTAAAACCCAGTTCTAGTTTTGTACTGGGTTCATCTGTAAGGGTATGTTTAGACTACATGCCTCTGCCGGCAGAGGCATGTAGTCTAAACATACCCTTACAGATGAACCCAGTACAAAACTAGAACTGGGTTTTAGGCTGAGTTCTCTGGAGGAACACTGGAGACGCGGCCGTCAAGATATGGATTGATTGGTAAGGAAAGCCTTTGCCGACCAATCCGTTATGCCTCGTGAAACATACCCTAAGAGTCTGATCCACAACATATCAAAGTCATCGTCTTTCTACTGACTTCAATGGATCATGCTCTCACTGATCATGCCAGATGTTTGGCAAGTGGATGAAGTCTTTGTTACTTTGCAAAGCTGAGAATCTCAGTGTTTTGGCATTAGGTGTATGAGGCATGACTGGGGAGGGCATTTGGCTTTATGTATCTACTTAGTTCTGCATCTTATGTACTGTTTGTCATTCACCAGAAATCAACACTAAGAAAAATTTTAAATTACAGGGCACTGAGATGGCCAAATACTTTGAATCTTTGGTCAGAAGCGATCCCCTCTTTGAAATTCCTGCCAAGCGACACCTTGGACTGGTTGTATTTCGTTTAAAGGTAAAAGAGGATGACGATTTTGTGTTAATTTGGGAATGAATCTGCACTAGGCAGAATCATGTCTCCTAACTTGATTGCTGTGGGTAAGGGTTATACAGAGGAAAGCAACAAGATCACTGGCAATTGGCGATCTCTAACATGCAAAATCCACTGTAATATGCATTTCTTCTTATACATTTTTTAATACAGGGTCCCAATTGGCTGACAGAAAAGGTCTTGAAAGAACTGAGTAAATCTGGCAGCCTCTTCCTCATTCCAGCAACCATCCGTGACAAGTTCATCATTCGCTTTACCGTAACATCTCAGTTCACCACCAGAGAGGACATTCTGCGAGATTGGCACATCATCCAACAAACTGCAGCCCAAATCATTAACCAGCATTTCATGCTGCCACCCATCAACTCTGCCAAAATCCCCAACATAATACGTAACCCCAGTCCTATTGGGGGTAAGAGTACATCTCCATCTTGCACAGAGGTAGGAGACCACAAAGCACCTTCCAGAAAGATACTAGTGCAGCCTAAAAAGGTAGCAGTCAGTCCCACTGCATGTGTGGTCAGTCAACACCTGGAAGCCCAAGTGGACCCTCTGGATGACTGCTTTCCAGATGTCCCAGATGTCACCAAACATAAGTTATCCTCTTTCCCATTCAGCTACTTATCTGTACAAGACAAGAAAAAAACAGCCCGTTCCCTCAGATGTAACAGTGTGCCAACCATCGGCCACGGTGGTCTGAAGGCAGCAGCCTCTGAGAAAAATGGTTCTCACCCCAGTGATAAAATCCTTTCCAAGCTGCCCAAAGAAGTCATGATGCTCAAAAAAAGTGCCTTCAGACAACTCATCAAGTTCTACAGTGTCCCTAGCTTTCCTGAATGCAGCATTCAGTGTGGCATTCAGCTGCCTTGTTGTCCTCTGCAAGCGCTTGTTTAACAGGGGAAACATATTGGCCTCCCCAGGTCGAAGAGAACCAAAGTTTGCTTATTCATATGCAATATGACCTGTTAGTGCGTTCCATATAGAAACAGTGTGAATGATCATTAACAAAAGTCTCATGCTTGTACCGAGGCGAAACATGTTGTGTATTTATTGATTAAAATGACAAATAAACCTCTTCAGCTTGTTCTGTGAAACTCCTCCTTCCAGACTGCGGTGGTGTTTGCATTAGATTGTGGAATGTTAATTGTAGAAGCCGGTTTGTAACTAGCAGGCTGGACTTGTTGCTGATTTAAATAAGGAGCGTTCCCACTGGCTTCAGAGGCAATGCATGAGGTGCAGCTCAGATTTGAATTTGGACCATTTATCCTAGTAGTTTGGTTTTTGACTGGAAAGTTATTGGGACTGATCCATCCCTATGGGAGATGGGGATCCTAACTGTGCCAGAGAGAGGAGTTCTCTAACACACACTGCCCTTCCCAGGGAGGGGCTCCCAGACAAAGGCAGCTTCAGAAGAAATGGGGGGAGGGGCTTTGCAGGAGCCCTGCGTACATATCTGTTCAATCCACTCTAGGCCCTCAAGGCAGAGGCAGACAGCCTACCCCATTGCAAACTCTGCACCAAGCAGATTTACCACTGTTGGAACTTATGCCCAGCACAACCTAGGCAAGGACTCTGGCTCAATAATAGGGCTGACACCGGGCATAAGCAGAGCCCTGCAAATCTGTGGATATCCAGAGTATATTTATGTCCAGACGTGGATAGCCATGGATCATTTTTGCAGAGTGTGGTTCAGATGCAAATACAAAGTTTGTAACCACACAAGGCTCGAAGCAGAAGCAATTGATTAGAGCCCCAACCAGTTCAAGGGCTGCCCTTCTTAGGCAGTGGGGGAATATTCCTGCTAACAATAGTAAGGAAAATTCTTGCAAATTATAATAATAATCCGTCTTTTTCGCACATTTGTTTGGTAAATTAAAAATACTTTAAAGAGTGAACACCTCTGCTACAATGGAGAACATAAAAGCATATGAGCAGAAAATTATGCACAAGAACAGGAAAGATGATGCATGAGTCACGGGGGTTGTTCTAGACTCTCAGCGCAGTGTGCGAAAGGCATGGTACGGGTTGGCAAGATAGGGTCCACAGGCCAGATCCAGCTTACCAAGCTGTTAGATCTGGCCTGTGACAGCCCTGCTGCTGCCCTGCACTGCTCTCAGGCCAATCGAGACCTGGAGATAGGGGGACCGCACAAAGTCTCCTCCCCTCGCCAGGGGCACAAGGCACCAGAGGGAGTTCAAAACTGACAGAGTGGGTCAGAAGGGAGGGAGAGACTCTGTGTGCTCCCCCACCTCCAGGCCCTGATTGGCCTGGGGGTGGAAGAGTATGCAGGTGTCCTCCCCGCAACCAGGAGTGAGCCCCCCCCCCAGAGGGAACAGCCCTCTTCCACCTGAAACCCTGCATAGATGAACAAATGACAAAAGGGAGCAATAAGGTGATGTGAGTGGGCAGTGTTGGGTTCCAGAGGGGAAGAGAAAGGCGCCGCCAGGCTAAGATGTAAGGGGATGCAGAGTTGTTTTATGTCCTGGGTGAGGGTTAACAAACAGACCACAAGGAGAAAGAAAAGTCATTTTATGTAGATCCTATTATTAAAACATGTCAGTCAAACAGAATTTCAGATACAGGCACTTGGTTACATTTATCAACTCACCCAACTGGCTTTCCAGATTATCAAATCAATGATATGAACATTCCAGAATTGTGATTTCTTTATGGATGGCCTCATAGTTTTAGGCTATTGTTATATATAGCATTATAAATGTCCTGTGTCATCAGCACATACATCTTTTCTTTGTCATCCAGGAAATACAGACCCTCCTTGATGACAGCTGGGTTGAAGCCCTCCTCCACTAATTGCACTTTCCGGTATTTAAAAGTTCCTGTGATCTCAATAGCATCCTAAAAACACAAAAAGGATACTCTGACATTGACAAGCAGCCAACAGTGGGTCTGATCTTTAAAGCAGGAAAAGTCAAACCATTCAGAAGTAAATTGTCCTGCAGTTTCTCCAAGAGGAGTGGTTATATAAAGAAAAAATGTAAATCCCCTACCTTCAGCGCTGTATACATTTAATATCTTTGAGATGTGGAACTCAGATTGGATGTAGCTCAGGTGTTAAAGACAAGCTAACAAAAACGTACAAGGAGCTAAATTTACCCCAAATTATTTCTGTTGGGTTCAGTATGTGGGGTTCAGGACCTTGGAAATACAAGGGGCCACAGCAACCAAATACCACCAAAGGCCTTTTGCAGTGCCCCCTTACTCCCCACACTGAACAGATCTCTGTGGCCTTTAGCAATGAGGCCAAGAAATGCCTGGGAGCCTACTAATGAAATGTTCCCTCTGTAACTTAATAAAAGACAATTGCTTTAGGGCCTGATCTATCAAAGTACTTCAGCATGTGCTTAAAGTTAAGCCTTACATTTAAGCAAGTGCTTAAATGCTTTGCTGAATCAGGGCCTTTCTAAAGAAATGGTGTGAGATGGTCTCTAGCAAGGGGTTCTCAAACTTCACTGCACCGCAATCCCCCTTCTGACAAGAAAGTTAATACATGACCCCAGGGGAGAGGAGGCCGTAGCCTGAGCCCCACTGCCCCAGGTGGTGGTAGTGGGAGCTCGGACTTTAGCTTCAGCCTTCTGTCTCGTCAAGTCAGTGACCCTATTAGAATTGGGCTGTGACTTATTCGGGGTTCTGACCCACAGTCCAAGACCTGCTGGTCTTTAGTTTCTTTGAGGCCACAAAGGAAGCCTTGCAGACATAACATCTTCATCCCAAGAGCTTGACCCTCCAGGCTGCAGTACAAAACGGCCTCCAGAAACCAGAGTGAAGCCAATGGCACTTTACCTCCAAGGTAATTCTTCCCAGAGAGCAGGGAAGCTAAAACAAGCCTGCTGCTTCCCAATGAAGCCTGGTACAGTGAGGTCAGCAGGACGAACCCCATCCTGCGTTTTAGAGGTATGCATGTGAAAAGGCAGGATTTTGCTCTAAAAACGAGAGAGAGGGAAATCTGTATGGAAGGCTACTTGTTGTTTTTTAAGTTTTTCCTGTTACAGACTAACTCAGCTACCTCTCTGAAGCTAAAGCACAATATAGTTTGCCCCATGTGATTATTTTCATAGCTATCCAAAGACAGAGGCAAGATTCAATAGTTTGGTATCTTAATATCTCTGTGTTTCTTCTGATGAACCATCACAGTAAGTACGTGATTTTCCTGAGGAGAATTTTTTTTATTTGTCATAAATAGATGCCTAAAATCAAATGACCCTCAGGACTGGTTCCCTCAGTTTAGCACAAACACAGTATTTCACCACGAATAATATAGAAAAGGAGGGCTGAGGCTAGTGGTCCATCAGTGTATTGAAACCAAGATCTGTGAGAGCCCCTCCCTTGCTTATGCTTGAGTAAGCTCCAGGTGGTGCTACATCTGCAAGAACAGTTTGCAGGTCAACACAATCTAAGTTTGAAAAACTCCCTTTGCTGTGTTAAGGGCACCTAAGAGAAAGTCTGCATGTTTCCATCGAGAGAGCTTTCTGGTTCATGGGGACACATGATACATTCAAACACAAACAAGACATCACCAGCATCCTGCATTATCACATGCTCATCCAGATTTCTGGTTCCAGGCAAAATGGAAACATCATGGACCTGACTCTCCTCTCCCAGTGGTGTAAATCAAGTTAAGCGTGGGAAGGAAGAGGACCCTAAAGTGTTGCCAGCATAATTATAAGTGACTGCGATCTTCATGGAGACACGGGAGAAGAAAACGCGAACAGACCAGTGCCCTCTTTTTGCAGCAATACAGGAGGCAAATAGGAAGCCTGCCTTACCTGAATCCTTATAAAGCGAGGTCTTGCATAATTTGGTAGGTAGTCTACAACATGTTTGTATGTCTTCTCCCCATTAAAATCATAGCCCTCCTTTAGTCGAATAGCTGCCATTCCTATTCTGCCTTCGTGACCTAGAGGAACAGTTATAAGGAAAAGAAATGGTTGATATTCACACTTCTGTGGTATAAATGCCAACCCTTGTGTCTTTCAATGTTTTTATTATTTATTTCAACATTATCTCTAATGATGGAACAATATTATTTATGGAGCGAAGGTAAAAACCAACCCTTTGCTGGGTTCCCCACTCCCCTTTAGCCCTGACGCAGAAATTGCTTTCAACTGGAGCTGAGTGAAATCTCAAAATCTGGGTGGGGTTAAGTTGTATACAGTGCTTCACATAGGGTGTATGCACAGGGATGAATCTGATCCCTAGGTAGCAAAAATATGAATTCTGCTGTCAATTTCTAGAGAAAAAGGAGCAGGCAATTGTGCACAGAGCAGGTCTCCTTTAAATCCATTAATCCACTGTTTGTCAGAATCAAGGGATAGATGATGGGAATGGATCACTTGATGACCTGTTCTGTTCATTCCCTCTGTAGTACCTAGCACTGGCCACTGTCAGAGGTCCGGATATTGGACTAGATGGACCATTGATCTAAACAAATATGGGCATTCTTATGTACATTGGTTCTGGTATTACTGGCATAAATGGCTCAGGAATGTACAAAATGGATGCTACTGTGAAACTGTTACAGATCCACACATATCCAGTGGTTTTTTTGCCCCCCAATCCACCAAGAGTTCTATTCAGAGAGTCAGAAGCTGGGACTTCCTCTTCTTCCTTCTCTGCAACCCTTCGATAGCCTCCTCTCTAGCCCTTCCACAATCACCCAGGATACTCAATATACAGCAAATATTGTAACAACTCAGACAGAGAGGGAGGGGACAGAGTGGTTTCGATGGGAGAACATCAAACATGAGAATTTTAAATACAGTCTTACAGTCAATTTGTGACTAAATGGATGTACAAACAGGGACATTATGAGATCAATTTTAATCCACAAAAGAATAGAAAACAGGTTAGACCTGACTTTTTCCATGCACTGCTTATATTTAGCCAAACTCTCTCACATCCTGACACCTGCAATTACCACAAAAGTCAATGTTTGTATTATAAGCAGTTTAAGCCAAATCACGTGAGGCTTTCACATCTTTTCATAGCATGTCTATCACCTAACAAGACAAATGCCATCGGATAACCAGATCTAGCAATACTGAAGTCACATAAATACCCCTTCCCCCAGCATACACCTAATATATGGTTTTTTGGAAAGCTCTGCAGTTCTGTAAAAAGGACAGAAGTCATTTCAGTCACAAATACAGCCACATGAAGACAGACCCAATATCCTCATAAAAGGCTTTGCAGCTGGAAGTTAATGCTTGACATAGGGCTGGACACAGGCCCCATTATCTAGACAAAAAGGGAAAGTGGTAACTAAAGGCAGAGAAGAGCAAAAGAAAAAGACATGAGTTTATTGAGAGCAATGGGCATTATAATTCCTCTTCAGCCACCATTATAAGCATGTTTCTATTCCTCTTTTCATATCACCTGCTCAAAGAAGCCACCTGACATTCTGATTTGCTTACTCTTGTTATCCAAAGGTCTGGTTGGAAGCTTCACATTTTTGCATCTAAACACGCTGGATTAGTTAGCTCTTCCTTGAGACTGTGTATTTTGTGTCATTAACTCCCAGGTATATTAAGAGACTGAAATACAACTATTATTTGCACCACATAAAAACAAGCTTATGTGAAAACTACTAACAACTGTATAATGCTGTGATAAGAACAGAACTGTTCTAAACAATTACTATTGTTTTCCTGGAACGCCATTCAGTAATTGGATACTAACACCTCTGCTAGCTAGTTCTACAGGCCCCTTGGGAGTTAGCTTGTACTTTTCTCATCTCCTACAGTGTAATCTGAGAGGAGGCTAAGGAACTGTGGACTATTCACATGGTAACCTGGCTTGTGAAATCTCTCCCATGGCAATTGTGTGTTTACCTCAAAGGCAGGTGCAAACAAAGCTGATGATTTAAAGAGACAAACCCTAATTTTGCTTTCATTGTTAATAGTGACATGCTAGGGGTGGGCAACAAAACAGTGATGGTTTGTCAGGGTTAGCCCCTGGCAGGCCGCTGCTGCTATACTTACCTGTGCCTCCACAGGTACAGGCTATTGCAGCTCCTGTTGGCCATGGATCGCTGTTCTTGGCCAATGAGAGCTGCAGGAACTGGTATGGACTGGGACACTGCTTCCCAAAGCTCCCATTGGCTGGGAATGGCAACCCATGGCCAATAGGAGCTGCAATCACCCGTTCCTGCAGAGACACAGGTAAATATAGTGGCGGCAGCCTGGCAGAGGCTAGCCCTAGGAAAGTGGATATGGCCTGTAGGCTAGTATTTGCCCATCCCTGTGATATGCAAAGAAATCTTGGTTATTTGTCCTTTAGGATTTTTTTTCTGGATAGCTACATGTGGCCTGAAATAGTGGTGTTGGGATAAGGGGCTTTTCTAGTTGTTGCTTTGTTAAAAAACAACAAAACCCTCAAACCCAAACCTTAGAAACATCATGAATGTCCAGTATGGTGAGCCCTGCTTTGGCCAGAGGAATTACTGGATGTATCAAAGACCGCACTGGGAATTCTCACACTTAAAAGAAATGGATGGAGGAGAGAAATTTTTAACAAACACTTCCTCATTCCAAAATGTGAATTAGCCACTGAAGCTACACACATTACAGTGTATAGTAGGCTAGACAGGGCCTGAATTTCAAAACAAGGAAAATAGCTCTTTCTGAAAAACCTTTTTGTGGTTTCTTTATATACCAACAAAAGCAAATATGGACCCAAGGCTACCTACCTCCCACTCTTTACAGGAGACACAAACACTCCAAATAGCAAATGCAATACAAATTAGAGAACATTTACCACATAACTGATTCTAAACTGACTTCTCTTTGTTTGCTTTAGGGTCCCCTAAAGTTTCACTGTGATCCCCCAACATGGATCATGCTGGGATTTGCCATCCCAAAGCCCTTTGCAGCAAGACCTGGCATACGGGGAGAGGGGTGCAAATCAGGTAAGGGACATTGCTTGGCATAGAAGGGTATCTGAAAAGTTTCTATTGTATTCTATTATTAGCATATAAATCCATAGGTTTATAGGTGTAGGGACAGCATCTTCATCTGTGCCCTATAAAGCACCAACCACACTGGACCAGATCCTCAACACAGCCCAGTCTAGGCCAGCCACTTCTCACCCTCTGAGGCATAGGGGGCATTTGATGGTAGGCTGAGCTTTGTCAGAGTAAGAGGGTGTACAGGCATGGGATTCTGTGTGCTCCAAGGATCCTGGCCTTTGGAGTGACTCTTTGGGATCTGTATCCAAGGAACAAATTAGAGCAGCTTTTGGGCTGTTCTAGATTGCTCAGGGGGACATTCAGACTCCTGGCAGCCTCCAAGATAAAGAAAAACCGCAACTTGGTTTAAAGTTATGTACTCTGACCCCTCAAGTCAACTAAGGGTTAATCTGACACACCTGAGAAGCTAACCCATATCATTGTTCTTATAGTTACATAATGATAATTGCCTTGACACAGATTAAATGGGGATGAGAGACTTTATTTAATATTCTGAGATCTACCTGATTATTTGGGGAGTAGAAAATTATACATGTGGTACAAAAGCAACTACATGTGGTTAGGTTAGAACTGCTTTTGGGGGTTCAACTCACTGAAGACAGGTGGGAAAAAACTCAGTTTCCCAAATTACCTTCTTTCTTTACCCAGAAATCTCTTTTCACAGTATTTTCCCTCTCTCATTGTATCATAAGTGCTTATCTGGTAGCTATAAAACATAATGGCTTGTTATCTTCTATATGAGTTCTAAATCTCTAATACTCTCCTACTTTCCTGTTAACATCCTTGCCAAACACTAGATTTAAAAAGTTTTGCAAAGACTCTGCAACTAATAATCATGTACACACATAACATGTAATTTGTTTACTTCTTTATTGTATCCCTTTGTTATAAAATGGTCATGCCTATTCACTTTCAGAATATTATCTGAAGAAGTGGTTCTGCCCCCATGAAAGCTTATCAGCTAATAAACCATCTTGTTAGTCTTTAAAGTGCTACACCACTGCTTTTTTTGTTTTACATATAACATGACTGAATTTACCAGATGCCATCATAAAGAATAGAGAGGTCAAAAGAGAAAGCCTTTTCGTACTGTTCTCTTAGTTTGTGATGATTTTACAGAAATCCGTGTAAAAAGGGTCTTATGTTACCCGACTGTCAAATGATTCACTTATACCTGGCACAGGCACTCCATACACATTAACTTCTTGGACAAATTCGATCAATCCTAAAATATCTGCAACTTCTGTAGTAGCCACGTTTTCGCCTTTCCATCTGGAAAACATATAGTAGTGAACAAGTTTCATAATTTCTGATCAACAACTTTCATGGGCTTGCCACTGCCCTTTCACTTTGGGGTCAAGGTGCCCATTCTCGTTGACTTGAGGCACCTGTTTTGATGCCCTGCCTGTTGAGGTTCAAGGAACCTAGTTCAAGGAAGGACTCTTGTTCAACCAGCAACCCAGTATATTGCCTTTTGATTTTCTTTTGTCAATATATTATTGTGGGCGTTAAACACCAGCTTCCCAGTGCTATTATTTTGGCCAGGCCTATTCCGTCAGAAAAAAATCAATGTAAGATTTGCAATTCCAGCTACGAAAATTACTTAGCTGGAGTCAAGCTACCTTACATCACTTTTCTGGGGTGGCCCCACAATAGGAGATAACTCTCCCATCTACTTTTCTTATTTCTCACAACTGTGAGGAGTACTACAGTAGACGGGGGCACTCTCAGCATTCGGTTTAGTGGGTGTTTACTAGACACGCTAAATCGAACACTAGAAGATCGACTGCTGGAGTGTGAATCCCATCCAAGCCCTCAGTGACTTACAATGAGAGAGGGAGTCCCAGGCTGAGTCCAGCAGATTGAGACATACAGATATTTTGAAATCTATTTTGCCTCTACCATGGCACCTGGGCAGTATCATGCTGTAACCATTGCTGGTGCTGGTCAGCATGGTCAAGCTGCGTTGTCCCCACTTGACAGCAGAGAGGAGTCTCACTGTGAAATTTTGTCCTGTTACTTTGAGGATAAAAGCCCTTGAATCCAAATGGAGCTGTCTGCCTGTGACTTGACAGAACAAAAATTATCAGGGGTTTGGAATGGCTGCCATATGGGAAAGATTAATAAGACTGGGACTTTTCATCTTGGAAAAGAGACAACTAATGGTGGGATACAACAGAGATCTATAAAATCATGACTAGTGTAGAGAAAGTAAATAAGGAAAGTTATTTACTTGCTCCCATAACACAAGAACTAGCGGTCACCAAATGAAATTAACAGGTAGCAATTTAAAAATGCACAAAAAGAAATACTTCTTCACACAATGCACAGTCAACCAGTGGAACTCCTTGACAGAGGATGTTGAGAGAATCAGGATTTTAACAGGGTTCTAAAAAGAACTAGATATATTCATGGAGGGTAGATCCATCAATGGTCTGACCCAGTATGGCTGTTCTTATGTTAAGTTGCTGGACATGCTGGACACAGCTACAATCTGTGAGCTAGGCCCAAGTCCTTTCTTGATGATGAAGGCACTTACAAGCCATTCAGATTGTTGTAGGTACAGACACCCTGCATTGACCTTTGAAAAGGCAGAGTACCTGTTTCCTTAAAGAAGCCATTCTATAGCACGATTGCCAAAAGGTTTTTTGAGCTAATCGGCAACTTGCATCTAATCTCCCATTTTGAAGGCAGGTTTTTAAGAAAGATGCGACAGAGAACTCTGGCAGTGTCTGGAACCGTCAGAATCCCCACTCGCCTGAGCTCCAGGAAAAAGGGATTAAGTGATGTAGGCTCCTCATTCTTCTCACTTTGAACTTAGACAAGTGAGAGCTCTGCACCAATCAGTGAGAGACACTGCAGGAAGGAACTGAGCATGAATTAAAACTTCCCTCAGTCTTAAGTATCTTTATAAACTAACCGGAATGTGTCTCCAACCCTGTCATGAAAGTAGATGAAATTGTCCTGGTCAATCATTAAGAGGTCACCACTATTAAAATACAAATCCCCTTTCTGGAAGACGTCTGCTAGTTTTTTCTTCTCTGTCTGGCTCTTTGCTCCTGCATAGCCGCTAAAAGGAGAATATGGTGTGATTTTGCAGATCAACAGCCCAGCTTCACCTACAAAAGGGAAGAAATGTTTGTCACATGTTTGCAAGCTACCATGTCAACTGATGACCCTCTAACAGTGATTTAAATGATACAATAGTAGTGATGATGTTTGTGAATGTTATAGAATCATTTTAGTTTTCTTTCATAATCACCTGCCCTTAAAAGTAGCAGTATGCCTCTGGGCTAAGGACTCAGCCTCACCCTCAATACTATGGGCCCTCATGAATACATGGCTCTTACAAGTTACATGCAACTACCAAGTTGTATGCTACAGGACAGGAACACAGAGTCATTAAAGATTTAGGCTGAAATTTACAAAGCCTCTTAAGAATTTGGATGCCCAATTTCCATTAAAATTAATTGAAACTGGGTGTCCAAATTCCCTAGGCAACTTTGAAAATATGAGCCTACATAGGACTTGATCCTAGCTGGGGACAAGCGAGGCTACCCCATGGGTATCAGCTGCAGTAGGCCACTAGTACTCCACTTCCCTACAAGCCAGGCTATTCCCATGATGTAGGGGATGCTTCAGGGCTTGCCCACCTTTTAGCCACCCCAAAAGCAGCACAGAGGACCAGTTGTGAGGGGAGAGTGAATGTAAGGACTCAACCCACTGACTTCAGATACAGAATGCACAAAAACCTGCTTAGCACATTGGCAACTTCTGAAGGTTGCCCTCTGAGACCAGGTGTAGCTAAAGTTATGGAGTGACCTGGGCCTGGGGGTGGAAGAATGATATTTGCCAGGAGTCAGAATTGCACCTGTGTTGATATGCAAGGTGA